TCATCATGGACATAAGAAATAAAGTTCTTTATTGCAACTGACAAGAAACACTCTACAAGAAAACCATTCATAACCGATTCTTTCCCAAATTTACCTCCATCTTATTGGTGGTAAAAATGGTGGGATATCCTGCCTTAGCCAGTATACATACGGAAACCAAACTATTTCTCATGCTTACTTTAGGACCATGCTCTTCCTAGTTTCCAACTGAAGGACATAATCAATAATCTCGGTTTTCTGAAGCCGTCCTAGGTATTAGACACATGGGCAGTGGACCCCGAGTCAAAACACCATGACACTTCCTTAGGGTCAGTTAGCATGGTCTCAAGGACCACACAAGCATGCTCCTTATTGCCTTTGGGATTCACATTCTTGGGTGCTATGCAGTATTTTGCTATGTGCCCAATCTTCTTGCAGTTATAGCTCTGGGTATTCTTCAAATCCTTCTTTTTCTTAGGCCCATCTTCCCCCTTTTGATTCTCATGTTCTTATTCTCATTCTTGCTTCCCCTTCTTTTTCTTGAATGAACCAGAGTTGAGTTTCAGATTTACTGGGTTCACATATTCATTCCCAGCTGTATCACGAGTCATTCTTCGTTCTTCTTCGGCTTTGGGCTTGATGATGATCTTGTCTAGCTTCGGCATGCTCCCTTATGCGGTGAGGGCTGAGACGAAGGCTTTCCAGGAGCTTGGCATGGGATGCAGCAGTTGCACACTTGCATGTTTTTCATCAGGCTTTATTTGGGCAGCCTCGAGTTCTCGGATCTGGGCTTTAAAAGTTTGAATATGCTCAGTCATCTTTGCTCCCTCTTTCATCCTTTTGCAGTCTTCAGTATCTCATACTTGAGGGCAGGAGTATCATCCATGGCCATAAGGAGGAAATGCTTAGCCAGGGTATGTTTCGCTCCCACTAAGCATAAGCATCCCTTATGGATTGTCTTTTATAAAGATTTCCTTGCGGTATGGGTGTAAGGTTCTGTGAGCATCTGGCTGAGTCTTTCTTCGAAGAATACATAACCAAATTTCTTTTTTCCAACTTGTATAATTCTTCTTATTAATTTTTTACGATTTAATGAGTTCAGCGATAAAACCTCTGGCTTCCATCTTTCTTGACGCAAAAAAATGAAGTAAAAAATCTCTTGACTATGGCAGTAAAATATGTGAAATTCAATGCAGTAAAATAAAAATTCTCTTTTTATTTTATGAATGTATGAACTCCACTTATGAGTGCCAAAATACACGTCAATAAATAAGAACTAAATACAACTTTGGGTCTTTTCTTTTTGTCAAATAGAATAGACACTATCAAAGAATGAAAAACATGCCTTCACTAGCAATTTTAGTACAAATAATGTTCCTGGAAATTCAAATAAATATGTGAAGATGACTAAAAAATAGAAACAAACAACTGGGATGACTTACTCAAATTCCTCTTGGGTGCCCCAATAGGTTTTACACCCCACACTAGATTTCCTGACCTATGGCACACTCTGATCCTATTGGCCTTGCTGAATTATCTGAGCCGTGAAGCTTCCTTAGGCAATGGCTTACAAACAGGTTTTTATGAAAGTATAATGCAATTAGGGTTACATGGACCCCTTTATGAACCTTTAGGGCATGCCACTATGTGATACCTCCTCTAATCCTAGCTTAAGGCCGTACGTGCTCCCTATCGCTCACTTTTATAGGGTCGTGCGACCCACCCCTGGAGCCTTAAAGGGGTGATGTGCCACTTAGAGAAAGAAAGGCGGACAAGAGAGGTGAGAGAGAGTGGGGTGTGGAGATAGAGGGAAGAGAGAGAAAGGCGGGAGTAATGTGTGTAGAATGAGGGGGTCCCTTCTTAAATAGGCATGCCTATCCAAAACTGTGACTTACATGACCAATTATTTGTGAGGTGAGAGAATTAAATCTGAGCCATCCATCCCATGAATCAACTATTATGATTTAAGGAGGAATTATAAGATTCTTATCCCTTGAATATTTGACCCATATCCACTTATAGTCAAACTAGGATAAGAGCAATCTGACCCTAATCTTTTGCAACTCCCATATCTATCAAGATTGTAGGAATTCAAAAGATAATGATATGGTAAACAATCTTTCAAAAGAAAAAATTTGATTCCTACAAAGTAAGGACAATCTTTTTTTTGAAATATTTCCTTAACTAACAAAATGAAACACTTTTTAAGAATTAAAACAAAACGAAAGAAGAAAGGAAGGGGCATGCCACTCTTATGAGTGAGATGTGGGCTCTGTGGGTTCCACGCACCACCCATGAGATGTGGCGCATATGTGGGGCTGGATCCTAGGGCCCAACATGTGCTCGTCCTCTGTACTTGAATTTAAAAAATGAGCACTGAAGTTTGAAATTAATGCTAAAAATCTGGAAATTTCTAAAATTCACAGAAGCATTTATCTTTGAAAAGATAAATATCTATAAGTGGATTGGTACCAATGGGTCATCATAAGTAACGTTCATGACACTCTACTCAACCCTGTAACTGTTATCCTCGACTATCATCTCAAACCAACCCAAAGAGACCTATAACCCACAATCTCGTGGAGGGGCTTATGATTAGCTTGTAAAAGCTGATCAATAAGAATGTGGATTCCAGTTTCACCCCCTTAAGAGCAAGTCATATGCACATATCATTATAATGTAAGGAGGACTATCTCTGTGCACATGTACACATCCCTTTTCAAGGTTGCTTCCCGATAATGCGGCTGTCATGTATACATGCTATGCGAAATTTTATCGAGGATTTAACCCTCGTTCTCACAAGCCTACATCTGTACATAGGAGACCACAAAGTTCTCCTGTCTTTTAAACCATCACTTGGTATCTTTCTGACCTCAACATAGGATGACTCTCTTAAAACTCTTTTCAGTGGTGCCATATGCCCAAGGGTAAGAGTTTTGGACATTACCAGGGCCATATACCGCCTTACCCTGGTCAGTGAACTAAGACATAGATTTCCACTTGAGTGTATAATCCATTATAATTCATGCTCTCACGGCCTTTAAAGGCCACAAAACCCCAACATCTCCCACTTCATTTGGAGGCCATACGAGCACTCCCCCTCAATCTCTCTCAAGCCCATCCCTTGTACATGCTTGGCCGATACATTTGCCACCAATCTTTTTGTCAAAGGATCTGTTAACATGGCCTCTGTTGGGAGATAAGCAACCTCTATCTCTCTTGCTCAGATCTCGTTGCGAATGTGGTAATAGTCTACCTTAATGTGCCCTGGTTTCTTGTGAAAATGAGGCTCTTTGGCTAGACAAATCACTGGCTGCTTGTCACATAAAATTCCTACACATGGGCACTTCACTGGATCAAATCTCAAGAGAGGCTTTTAATCTTAGCCCTCCATTGCCTAAATCAGCCATCGTAATAATAGGTAATAATTTAGAATCCTTAACCTTTAGTTTCCTTGACCCATTATTTTCCTTATCTAAATATGAATGTTTCTCATCCAATTTTTATTTATTTTTATCTTAAAACTCTTCTAAGAGCTTTTGAGAACTCCTAGGCCTTCTAGAAGAGTTTCTCCATGCTTTAAAAAATTCACCAAACTACTTTTAATAAAATATTCAATAATACAAAAATAATTAGTTTGGTTGGATTAGGAAATGGGGCATGTGGGCCTATGGAGCTCAATGGGTCCCATGGCCCACACTATCTGGGCCCTATCTATGTTAGTTCTCATGGTCCTTTGATTATCATCTCGAACCCAACCCAGCAAAACCCATGACAGACAATTAATAAAAAAAACTCATGATTGATCCATCAAAGATAGCCAATAAAATAACATGAACGTGAATCTAGTGTGTGGATTATGGGTTACCCCAAAGGACAAATCATGTCCCACATGGATATGTACACATTATTATAAATAATGCGAGGGTCCTCTCTGTAGCACATGCACACGCGCTACCCTCATGGGTCACTTCCCATTGATATGGCTATCATGTATTGCTTCAAAAAGCAAACTGCCCAACGCCTGAGCGGCCGCCTAGGCGGATTTCCCTGGGTGCTTGCCTGAACCCGCCTAGGCTGCTGCCCAGGGCTTCCACCCCACTCAGCGGCAGAACTACGGCTCCTTGAGAGTAATTTTGGGTCATTTTTTTAACACTGAAGAGGTAAAATTGTGGGTTTTAGGTTTATTTGAAACCTAATTAGAGGCTATTTAGAGAGAGAAAACCCAAAAAAAAAAAATTTCTACTGGCCGCCTCGGTTCTGGGCGCCCGCCTAGGCGCTGGGCGGCCTGAACCCCCCTGACCGCCTAGGAGCCACCTAGCGCTTTTTGAAACACTGCTATCATGTGGACATGCCCTGCGGTGCGGTGGTAATGTTCCAGATTTGGCCCTTGCTGTCACAAGCCACCAACCATACACAGGAGATCGATCACCTCTAGCTAAAACCATGCTTGACATCTCTCCAACCTCAACAAGGGCTAATCTGGTACCCTCCATTGTTGTGCCTTATGGCTAGGGCTAAGGGGTTTTGGACTCCATTCCCCAGCCTAGACCGCCCAACCTGGGTGAGTCAGTGGGCATTACAAAACATGCCTCTCCTACTGGAGTTTATCACTGTACTCATGAGTCTTTTCATTGTTTCAAGGCCTTTGAAGACCATATACCAACAGGTGTAGGCATGGAGTTTCTTATTCAACACTTGAGGAACAGCTGCCTTCTAGCTTGAGTTATGTATTTTGGATAACTGTGTATCTGCATTCTCACTTCCAGTCCCTACTCCAAAGGCACACACCTCCTTGGACCTTTTCTAATGAAAAATAGTGCACTAGCCCTACCCTCAGTCTCAATCTATTGATTCAGGGCATAATGGTTTCTACTGTTTGTTGTGCATTCTGATATTTTTATTAAATCTTGATCTTGTCTTATATATTCTCTTTTTTTTTAAAACATGATAATATGTTTATGTCATCTACCTGTTGGTTTGTGTTGTTTCAGAATTGAATTTGAAAGATACTGTTGCAGGTTTTTTTGGAATCAAGGCTCAAACGACTTCTGCATGGGCAGCATGATACCAATCATTTCATTTTCACTGATTCAGATGTGGCAGTGGTGGATGACCTCAGGCATATTTTTGAGAAGTATCCTAATTTTGATCTGGCTGTCACTTTTCGCAATAATAAAAATCAGCCTTTGAATTCTGGGTTTATTGCAGTGAGGGGAACAATTGATGGGATTTCAAAGTATGTAAAGTAGGCTCCCATGCTTTTTGATGCACCAGTTTGCAGCATAAATTGTATAGCCTTGAGGCCTATTCATTGGATGTTTTGTGTCTGCTTTCTTTTCTGCCTGCTGGATAAGAAACTCATGCTCACACATGATAAAGGGGGTTGATGCCTAATTTTGTATGTTTCTGCTGTAGGGCAAAGGCTCTTCTAGAGCGAGTCTTGAATGTGTATATGTTGAAATTCGGGAATGCTTCCCGCATGCTTGGAGATCAGCTAGCTCTTGCTTGGGTTATAAAATCTCATCTGTCATTTGATGCAAAACAATTTTCTAGACATGAGGCCTTTGTAGATGAAATTCATGGAGCATTGGTGCTATTTTTACCATGTGCTGTTTACAATTGGACACCACCAGAAGGTGCGGGGCAGTTTCATGGCATGCCTGTGGATGTAAAGGTATGAAAAGCATGTGAATTTAAGGTTGTAAAAGCTTTTATTCAAAGTGCCATAGAAATATTACATTCTAATTCAGATTCTTGAATGCTACTTGAATCCCATGTGAAGCTTTTTGTTGGCATGTCTTGACCTGATACAGTCAATTGTTTCTTTCTGGTTTGTTACTGCAAATTTACCTTGAAATCACACAACTCAGTTTTAATTAAATGAAACATATCTGTTACCTCTGCAAATGAATGTGGACAGCTTACTAATCGGGTTTTAATTAGTTTCTGTTGGCATTTGAATAAAGGAAATTGAAAAACAAGATCTCGTGGCGTATTCATAATTATGTTGAGTGGTTTAATTATGATTTATAATACTTGTTTTTTATTGGTTATAGCCTTGGAACTCATATAAGCAGTGTAAGAAATTGGCAACAATACCCCTCTGTATCGTTTTCTGTAAACTTTAAATACCAATGAAAACTCCTTAAAGACATGTCAACTTAGACATCATGGTATTAAATGTTAGGGTGCATGTCAATTCCTTATTCATTATGGCTAGCTTTGAGTTTTTTGAAGGTTCTATTTGCAGTTTCCATCCCAAACTCCTTTTAAAGAGCATGTCATAGTGGATGCCAGAGGCTGCCTATGCCCCTTATACTGAAATTATTTCCTACCTTTTGCTTCTTCATAACATTATTCCATTATTTTCATCCAAGCAGTGTACTTTGTCTATGTATATGCCCAAGTACCCTTCTACTTCACATTTTTGTAAATAAATAAATTCTTTGTGTTTTCAAACTTTCTGTGATGCGTGGTCAAAGTTAAACCTTGGGGCTTCTATCAATGTATAATAAAGCGTAAGGTGGGGCCTAGGTGACCACCTCTTACATAAGCAGCCCACAGAGAGGAGAGAAAAAAAAGAAGAGAGAAGAGAGAAGTATGAGAAACATGAGAGGAAATAGAAAGACGTGAGATTCAACCGACGCTCATGCACCTCTCAGCCTTAAATTTTATTCAAATGTATAAAATGGACAAAACTGCCCATACAAATATAATTAAGACACTTTGGTCCAAAACCCCTAGATTTCGTATATGGAGTGGACACTTATTTACTAGCAACTTTCTCTTAGATAAAATGATAGTCTACTTCAATATGCTTTGTCCTTTAATGGAACATGGGATTATTAACAATATGGGTGGCAGCTTTGTTATTGTAATACATTCTCATAGGTTCAACAACAGTAAAGCTCATTTCCTACATCAATGTTTTCAGCCATATCAGGTCACATGTAGTGTGCGCCATTACTCAATGTTCAGCCTCAACACTAGATCTAGCCACAACATTTTTTTTCTTACTTCTCCATGTTACCAATTTTTTTATTTTTTTAGAATGTTAACCTTTAATTAATAATATAAAGAAGTACCAGAACGAAGAAATATAGGCTGTCTTCTGGGCGGAAGCTCTAAGTACAAAAAGCCCCTGTCTAAATGGGGTGGGGGAGAATAAAAAAGCCATGTTTTTAAAGGTTACAATGAGGAAGAAACAATCCAACCAACAAAAAGAAGCCGATCCAAAATGATGCTAAGGGTAGTCCTGAGTCGTCGCTTCCTTAGCAAGGGTGTCCGTTTCCTGGTTTGGTCCTTGCTACGTATGCATCCATAAGACATGCATATCCCTGTAAAGGTAATTTATCTCATCAAAAATATGAGCCAAGACCCAAGGAGGGGGGACGAGTTTGAAGCTCAGGCAATGACATTCTTGGAATCTCCCTCAATGGTAATGGAAACTATCATGTGGAGGTAAACAAGCTCGAGTCCCTCAAGAAGAGCCGGCACCTCTGCTTCCATGGAATCGGCATGACCCATGTTACCAAGTTTCCACCAATAAATGTACAATAACCCGTGTACTGCCTATCTGATGGTGATTCTACCCAATAACCCAATTAGCATCCGAGTAATCTTCAATGGCCCAATTAGCATCTGAGTAACCTGATTATTTGGCCTGTAACTCAGACCTCGACTTGGGGCTCCCTTCAGTTACCTTAGAATTCTACCAAGGACATCCCAGTGAGGAATCCTCAGAGCATGCATAAATCGACTCACATCACTAACTGTAAATGCAATATAAGTCAGATAAATCAGCCTGCCGATCAGTGTTCTCTACCTTCCTGGATCCTCAAACAACCCCCGATTAGCCAATAATTTCATATTTGAATCCGTAGGAATATCCATAGGTTTAGCACCCAAAATTCCAGTTTCTTTCAACAAATTAGTCACATATTTTCTTTGAGATGAACTAATGTCATACTTTGATTTGGCTACTTCGATTCCTAGGAAATACCTTAGCTGGCCCAAATATTTAGTCTGAAGATATAGTTTTAAATGTCTATTCAAATGGCTTGTTCCTTCTTGATCATTGCCGATCACAACAATATCATCAACATCAACAACTAAAATAATTATTCTGGAGTCTTGTTTCTAAATAAACACTGAATGATCTATATGACTGCGTCAAACCATACATGACTGTGTCAAAATCCATATGCTATAACAATTTTACTAAACTTTTCAAACCATGCACATAGAGACTGTTTCAGGCTATAAATGGCTTTCTTCTATTTAAACGCTTTATTTGACTCCCCCTGAGCAACTAACCGAGGTGGTTGCTCCATATATTAAATCACCATAGGGGAAAGCTTTTTTGACATCAAGTTGCCACAACGATCATCCCTTGTTGGCAGCCACATATATAACCACTTGAACTAAATTAGGTTTAGCAACAAGAGCGAATGTTTTGGAGTCGTCAATGGCAAATGTTTGTGTGCATCCCTTGGTTACTAATCTGGCCGTTAATTTTTCTACAGTGCCATCAGGTTGATATTTTATTGCATAAACCCATCGACACTCAACATTCCTTTTTCTGGTTGGCAACTCAGTGAGTTCCCATTTATCATTTGAATGATGAGCATCCGTCTCCTCTTCCATTGCTTTCTTCCACTTAGTATGAGAACACATTTCTTGGTAGATCATAGGAACAAAAATAGATGAAAGGGCCAAATCAAAAGTTTAATATGATGGAGAGAAGTTTGTACAAGTAACTAAATTAGTAATTGGATATTAGGTAGAAGACTTGATACCTTTACGGATGGCAATAGGTACATCATCATCACAAGAAGGAAATGGATTAGTAAACGAAGATGATGATCGAGTGGCCAGCTGAGTTGGTGGGGGATGTCCAACCTGCATTTTTCTTCTGTTTAATGGGCTGTTCTTAAGAAGCATGATGATGTATAGGTGCATAGATTCAGTGGAGTCAGGTAAATGGGGTGAAGCAGCAGTATGAACAAGAATAGGGAGAGGAATCATAGAAGGCGAGGACGTTGAGACTTCTTTAGAAGTAGGATAAAAATTATTTGTTTCATTCACATGACTAAATTGGAACAAAAATAGATGAAAGGACTAAATCAAAAGTTTGATATGATGGAGAGAAATTTGTACAAGTAGCAAAATTAGCAATTGGATATTGGCTACAAGACTTGATACCTTTACGGATGGAAATAGGTACATCATCATCACACGAAGGAAATGGATTAGCAGACGAAGATGATGATTGAGAGGCCGGCTGAGTTGGTGGGGGGTGTCCAACCTGCATTTTTCTTCTGGTTAATGGGCTGTTCTTAAGAAACATGATGATGTATAGGTGCACTAGATTCAGTGGAGTCATGTAACTGGGGTGAAGAAGCTGTATGAACAGGAATATGAAGAGGAATCATAGAAGGCGAGGACTTTGAGACTTCTTCCGAAGTAGGATAAAAATTATTTGTGTCAATCACATAACTCTTCTGAAAAGTATGAAATATTTTTGTAAAAGGTAACATCAGTACAAACAAATTTCTTTTGTAAGCTAGGATGATAACAGCGTTAACCTTTATGGAAGCATGAATACCTGAGAGAGAGATTCTTGACAGCCTGGGGATCTAGTTTGTCATTACGAGTACCTAATATATGAACAACGCAAACACACCTAACAACTTGAGGAGGATCAATGAACAGTGCAGCATTAGGAAAGAGAACTGAGGTTGGTGTTTTTCCATTTAAGACTGAAGAAGGCATATATTTAATTTAAGGAAAAAGTTTATATAAGGTTGCAACCTTACAATGTAGAATTACAGATGCGCCTCAAAAATCCATCGGAAAAGGTTGTTTTAATGTTGAAAACCTTCTAATTGATCATCTCGACATCGAGATGTATGAATAAAAAAACAAAAAAGATTTTGAGTTCTAGAACATCTTGCAACATATTATTTAGACTATCCATTTTCAATAGTTTCATATATTTATAGATCTACTTGATTTTAACTATTTTTGAAGTTTAAAAATTTATAATTAGGTATAAGAATAGATTTTCTGATAATCCTAAGCATATTTTACACCAAAATTACATGTTACGATAAAATTCGGAGGTGCACCTTAATTGGATTGTTTAAGGTTGCAACCTTATAGAAACCACGCCCTTTAATTAAATACAATGCGGTCAGTGAGGCATCTTCCCAATAAACCTTTGGAACATGCATGTTAATAAGCAGAGAATGGGCTACTTCAAGTAAGTGTTGATTTTTGCTTTCAGGCAACCCCATTACGTTAAGGATGCACACAAGAAGTTTGGAACAAAATTCCATGTTCAGGAAAATAATTCTGAAATTCTTTAGAAAATCACCCTATAGCATTATCCTACATTGCCAATCCTGGGTATCCTAGGATCTAGCTTCTTAACTTGTTGAATATATGGATGTCGATCCTAACCCTAGGGAACTTTCCACCATATAGCGGTTCGGCATTCCCCGAATTGATCCCACTCCCGCCTCCAACAACTATGGTCACAGGTGTTTTGGGATCAATATCTTGCTAATGCTGTGGTTGAGTCTGTGGATGAGCTCAGAAACTTCATCCAAATACATACCATGTGAGGTTAATATCCTATAATAGCGTTAGTTCTCAAGCAAAGTTTGTCTTTCATTAGTCCTTTTGTTCTGGCTTGATCTAAAGATGCTCGTTAAATCAAATTTTATATTTTGCCAGTTATTTCAAATATAGTTTCACAGGGATGAATCAAGTTATTGTGATGTTTAAATGAAGGATGCTTACAACTTGAGCTACACTTCGAAATGTTCAAGTTACGGGTGCCTGAATCAGAAAGGTGGGATGGCTTCCTTGTTGAGTTGGAAGTCCTAGACTAGTTCTGCCAAAAGGCAGAGAAAGGTGCGTCAAAAAAATTTTGAAATAAAAAAATGCCTTGCCAGAAAACAAAAGGAAATTCTTTAGTATGTCCCAGAGACCAAGAAAGACACTCCCTCTATTACTCTTTCTGGATTTATTTATGTAAAATAAAATATTTTGGCATGAGGATTAATGGTGATGATGTTTCTACAAGTTATACTTGGATTGAGGAGGTTTTCACCCTTTCCAAGGATAATAGCCTACTAACAAATTGGAAGAACTCAATCCTTTGAGCCTTCAATTGTAGAAGTAATGGAGTTTTGTGAAGTTGAGGGTGGGACCTCTTCTGGAATGTCACGGACTTTCAGGATGGTCTATAAATCGATGTTGATACCCTCTCTTAGCTTATGGAAAAGCACAAAAACAAATGAAAGACCAAAGAGGAAGACATAAAGGTTTCTGTTCCGTGCATAAAGTGTGAACCTTTAGGGGTTAGGGAACAATTACTTGAGTTTCTCTATGTGTCTGCATCATTAGGCTGAAGGTTCGACAAGGGATGGATATCTTGTTACCATTTCCTTCTTTCATCTTGTTGGACCTAGTGCTCCTCTATATGTCTTTGTGGTTGTTCGTTGGTGTGTGGTCTTGTATTTTCTATTCGAATTTAAGTTATCCTTTGCACAACTTTTCCGGAAGTTTGGGTAACATGGGACATATTTGTTGTCTTTTTCGTCCGGTAGTGTGTTTATGTGGTTACTAAATTGGTAAGTTTGCATGGCCAGAGTGAATGCACATGCTCCTGCACACAATTCAGCTTGTATAGCTCACAATATTATACATATATATTCTTGTCAGTAGGCTATGAATTACCATCGTGCTTAGATTTGTCTTTCTATTGTTTTGAGGTTAATGAGAAAAATAGAGGCAGAGAATCTAGGTGAAATGGCAGAGGTGGTGGGAGAAATGCGAAGGACGATTGTTTGTTTCATGTCCTTTAGAGTTGGTCCCAAATGTATGAACAAAGTACAACTATCAATAAGGGTGATGGGTTGTATTTCTTGATGTGGCATTTTGGAACAATTTGCATGATCAGACAAAATATGAGAGGACTAGGAATGATCCTTTCTACCATCCGTAGGCTTTTAAGAAATGAAACACATCCTGTCATACAATATGTTCATAGGCAAACATTGCATGACATTGACATTTTTTACATAATCCATGCGTCTATTTCCTATTGCACTATCAGGGCTTGGTCTACATCAAAAGCTAAGTTAATACCATCCTCAGTTGCTGTTTTGATAGAAAGTGGAGATAGAGGTATCTGTTATTGATAATTTGGTTTCATTGGCAGGTTATTCATTTCAAGGGCTCAAGGAAGCGGTTGATGCTTGAATCTTGGAACTTGTTAAACTCGTCCTCCCCTGTTAACTTTTCCAATATTTTATGTGTGATATTAAAAAGTGGGAGGACAAAGTATGATTTTTAATGTTAGACGCCGCCATGTCCAGTGTCCTTAAAATGCGTTTTCTTTGCGATGTATTTGTTGGACAAAACATAGTGCATGAATCCGGAATTCTCTTGGAAGAGGTTTCTTTTTCTTGGAAATACCCTTTGTGGTGTTTTGGCATGTGGCGCAGAGACTTCTGAACAAAATGTTTGTATACCTAGCAACATCGGGGAGTTGATGCAAACTAAGGATCAATGGACTGGTATGATGGGGGATGCATGTTTTTCTTTTCTTTGAACGCATGAAGAATATTTTGTACCAACACGTGGGCATTGCATCCATCAAATTTTCTATTTTCTGGACACAATGCCATGGATTTCATGTTTCTGCATTTTTTATTTTTGGCCATTTGACTTATGAGAGGGATACTATTGAAAATTGCACATTACCTCTACAGCTACAGATGTGCCTCAAAAATACATCGGAAAAGGTCGTTTTAATGTTGAAAAATTCTTTGATTGATGTATGAATATAAAAAATAAAAAGATTTTAGGTCTAAAAAATAGTGCATTTTAAAACATATTTACACTGTCCATTTTCAAGATTTTCGTATGTTTATAGATGTACTTGATTTTCTATTTTTTGAAATTTAAAATGTATAATTAAATATAAAAATAGATTTTGAGATAATCCTAAATATTTTATATCAAAATTATATACCATGAAAAAATTTGAAAGTGGACCTTACCTCTATACCTACGTATGCCGTATGTCAACTGCACCCTTATCCTTTTTGTATCTGTCCAAAGCACACTCCTAATAAAATATATTTTGGATAATGAGTTCCAAACCTATGGGACTTAAATAGTGGGCTGTGAATAATTCTCGAGGCCAATATCATGGCAAGCCTTGAAGAGTCCTTGTCAACATTCCCGCTCCAAATCAGAACTGGCTGGTTAGATCGGTACCGCAAGTTATCGGTTTTGGTTAAGGCCCGTTTTGCAGTACTGCATAATAGATGCTCATCTTAAAAAAAAAGTTGATACAAAAACTGGTCTGTTCAATGTCGAAGAGGGGGTATTTTCTAAAAATCGGTCGGTTTTCAACTTATTGGACTGGCTCGTCATTATGACGGCGTTTTATGGTAAATAACGGTCATGTATAAATAACGACGTTATTTTAAAATTCAACCAGTTATTTGTAGAAGGAAAATTGTGAGTCTAAATTTTACCATTTTTTATTCGGTTTGCAGTCATATTTTGGTTGTTTTTTTGTGTTTTAATAGTTTAAACCACTATATAATGAATCTAAAACAATCAATTTGGATTTAAAAATTGAAAAAAACGAGTTTTTTGGATTGAAATGGCAAATTTTTTAGGTTTTTGAAAACTTCTGCCATTCTTTCAATAATCTCTTCAATACCTAATGTTCTTGAAGAAAGTTGAGGGGTTTTATTGCTATACAAAGTATTTACTAGATTCAGTTTTAATTTGTTCATAAAACAAAAAAATCGAGGGTTTATTTTAGCCAGAATGGTTGCTGCTCCAAGAACTTGTGTTCTACCCAAAAATTGAGGCTTCATAGCTCAAATAAAATTTCTATGTTTATTTATTATTGAGGAAATTTTTTTATATCAATTTTTTCGTTGCATCATATAACGAAAGTTACATAGATCTTGAATTTCCGCATTTTCTTCAATTAAATAAAAAATGCCAAATATTTTTTGATGATATTTGATGCGTTTGAAAGATGATCGAAGCCTTTACAATGTATGTATGTTTATTTTTTTAGTTATCCAAACATTGAGAGTCGTTTATTGCTCGAAATGTTGCTTCATTTTTGGGGTTTTTGAAAAGTCAATTTTCTTAAAAAAGATATTTTGTTTAAGAAAATTAATTTTTTGATGAAATTGAGAAGTGTTTTTCTATTTTTTTAAATAATTTTTTAATAGAATTACGATTTTTTAATAAAATTACATTTGATTAATATGGGAATTGTTTTTCTATTTTGCTTAATAAAATTATTCCTTTGATAAAATTATTTTTTTGATGAAATTGATTCTTCTTTTTGATAAGTGTATGATAATGTCACTCGATTTTTTTAATTATCTTTTTTTTAAGTTGATATAGTTATATTTGTAATGATGGAAATGAGATATTTTGTTTTTTTATATGCATGTAAAAATTATGGCTGCCTTATGTTCAATGAAATACTACACCGTCTTGTATGTGCTTTGGTCTTCTCATTTTTATTTATTTATTTATTTATTTTGTTCATTCTCTATCAAGTTTTTGGAATATTATGGAAAGAGTCTTTAAAAGATGAGCCATTTTAATAAGAATCGCCCGACTAACTCGAGATCAGTCACTGGCCGATCCTGATTTTGCTTGATTCCAGAGAGAGAGAGAGAGAGAGAGAGAGAGTTATACAAAGATTTTTAATTTCAAATCATCCCTCATTTGAGAAATTGATTTTTCTAAAAAAAAAAATTCATTTTGCTTAGTAAAATTATATATTTTTTATCAATATGGGAGTTTTTTTCTATAATATATGACAAAAATATCTTAAAAAAATAATATCCTAAGCTATTTTCATGCATAGGACCATAGTATTCGAATATTACTTTATAAAAAGTTGTTTCAATTTTTTTTTGTAAAATAAATACATGTAATAAGATATTACACACTTCGTCTAAGTATTTTTTAGTTTTTTTTTTTTTTTGAGAGTTTTTTTTGACCCTATTTTTTTTTTTTTTTTAAAATCTACTTGACGGGTTAGTCTGGTTAACAGCCCCAGTTAGTCCGGTTCTAGTTCAAACCTCACCCAGCCCCATATTCGGTTAATCGTTCCGGTTCGATTTTGCGAATACTGGTCCTTATTCACTGTTTTTCTGTCCAATCGTTTATTTTGAATGGAGAGCTAAGATTGCCCCAATCATAATGTCACGTCTCTACACTATTTTATTTTTAATTTTTTATATAAAATATTTTGACACCAACTCTTGGGCGTCCAATCTTCTATTAAACTCGTACTTGTAAAAGATATAAAAAAATATTATCAACAAAATAAAATGATCAAAATACCATTGAGTTTTAAGGCGTATTTTGATCGTTATATTTTATTGAAAAATTATTTGTAAATTTTTTTTGCAGGCATGCCCCAATGAGAAGATGGCACTTATACAATTTATATAAAAATAAAATATTATGAGGCGTCAGATCCATAAAATCAAACGGTGAGTGGCTCACTTGATCAAAATTGGACGGTTGGATGGTATGGGAGGTATAGATTATCTATGTTGTAAGGAAAGTAAAGAAACCTTTCCCATAATTCAAGTATTTTATTATTGCGGTTTGAATGGCTTGACTCTATGTCCTTTGTTATAGGGTGTACATATGCATGGATCTACTTTGAAAGGGATGTACGCATCTCTTGTTTAAGGGAAACATTTTTGCGTGCTACCAATAGGCGATAAGATGAGAGCGAGTAGACTTAGGTGGGCTGGCTATGTGTAGTGTTAACTCAATACAACACTTGTTAGGAGGTACAAGTTAGTTCAAGTGAAAAGATCGAAAAGGGCAGTGGGTAGACTCAAAAGGACGTGGTTGAAAGTAGTTCCAAAAGATATGGAGATTTATGGCCTCACTGAGGATATGACCATCAATAGAGCAGAATGACAAACCATAATTCGTATAGCCGACCCCAATTAATTAGAAAAAAGCTATGATGATGATGATGGTGTTTATGTGTTGCAGTCACCCATATATAAAATACACGTAAAATGCACGTGACTGTTGTTCTGAATGAATGGTTGGGATATATCTAATCATGATGTCATGTGTTAACTTCTATGCATTTGATATGAATCGGATAGCACTGAGTATTTTGCTTTTAATTTTTATTTTACAAATCATTTTGACATGAAATTTGAGGCATGTCCACTTTTCAATTGGTCGTACCTAACAAAAATAAAAAAACTTATGAAACATAAATTAAAATGACTAAAATGCCACTAAAACTTGTAGAGGTATTTTGGTTATTTTATTGAAAAATAAATATATTTTTATTTTTGTTAGGCTTGCCTTTGTAACGAGTGAGTGTATCAAAATTTTGCATCAATAAAAATTTAAAATAAAGCAATATCAAGCCCTCCATTTACATCAGATGGATGGGAATAATAGTTCTATAGTTTATATGCGGATAGCAAGTTACCCAATTAGTGAGACATCGGCGTTCATGGTGTAAAAAAATGTATGCATTTCTTATTTTGTCTTACATGACAATAAATTTTAAAAGCCATCGAGTGTAGGTTTAGGACACCGTCAAGACTCTGAATTCTAAAGCCTTCATATTTCGGTTTTATTCGCCTCCTAAATGCTTTGGACGCTTTTTTGGAGCATTCTTCTTGAGTAACACACGGGCATATGTCAGGTCCCTGCCGAGACACTTGTTTTATGGTGCAATCAACAAAGAAAAAATAAAATGAAATGAAAAGGTCCAACTCAAATGTTGTCCTTTGCTAAAATGATTATTGGATATAGATTTGTTATTTAATATCATTCAAGAATTGAGATGCATTTTCGTTTTAGATCTATGATTTTGCAATTCAAAAAATAAAGCAGACTAGATATATGTGAAGAAATAAAATGAATGTTCGAAAAATAAATATTAAATAGTCGATTTTTAAGAATCAGAAGCCATTGTTTTCATATTCAAGAGCGTGGCCGCTGGGATTAACCTACGTTTAGATCCAAAATTTTTGGAAACTACATTTCAATAAGGAAAAAGTTTATTTAAGGTTGCAAAACTGTTAAGGTGCAGTTTTAAAATCCATTGACACTGGTTTTTTGTTGTTGGAAAACCTCTAATCTATTATCCCGACATCAAGATGATTAGATATGGAAAAAAAAAAAAGAAGATTCGAGTCTCGAAAATAGTGCATATTGTAATACATTATTTGTAATGTCTATTTTCAATATTTTTATGTGTTTATAGATATACTTGTTTTGAACTAATTAGAGATGACAATAGATTCTCATATTATCCTAAAGATTTTTAACATCAAAATTACATCCTATCATAAAATTTGGAGGCATCGATTGTTTTAAGGTTGCAACCATACAAACCAATCCCTTTGAATAATGACGCACCAAAACCCTATCCTAATCACAATGAGGGAACTTCAATTCTCATGCTCTCCTATTTCCGTAACATTACTCTAGAATATTACAAATCTTAATTAGTAGTAATGTGACGCAACTCTGATCACATGCAGCCAATAACGAGCGGTAAAATCACATTTTAGAGAGAGAAATAATTGACCGAGAAAAAGATTAGCAAGAAAAAATACCAACACGGGGGATTCAAGCTCTCCACTAC